CATAATCAAATAACAAAAGAAAGTGATGCAGGACTCTGTCAGCAACTGGTTAGGAAGTTCATAGTGAAGTAGTACATGGTTAAGAAGAGGAAAACTCAGAGGAGCTATCTTTCCTTAAAAAAGCACACCACGTTCTAGCTCCTTCCTGCACACACGCCATTCAAAAGGGAACACTCCATGTCACAAGAGGAATACATAGTGCAGGAATTTCTCTCTCTAGCAGTAGCACTACTTCTATGCATAATCCTACATGAGCACAACCAATTCAGAGCTGATTCCTGTAGCCACAACGCCCCAAAGAAGATAATTACCTACTCTGTTCCAAACCGGTCAAGCAATGCCAGGAGCATCATGGGAGGCAATGTAAGCACTTCTTGCGTGGAAATCTGTTCAAAGTGAGGTAGGCAGGTTATCAGGGGTTCGCGTTCTCCGGTGCAGCCCTTCTCCATGCTGCATATGATGGGAGGCAATGTAAGCACCTATGCCTTCAGACATCACTTGCGGCTCAGACATTTCATCGTCTAGCAGCTCCAACACAAGTTGATAGCACATAAAAAAATAAAGGCGATAAAACTGTTAAGTATGAAGTAGTAAGGATTATACAATACCATATGTACTATTTTTGTTAAAAGGATGGTCAAATGTGTGGAAATGATTTGATAGATTATATTCAAAGCATGCCTGATAAGAAATTTCTTTTTTTTTTCAATCCTCGGTTGAGGAAGCTAACAAATATGTGGACATGATTGATAGAATATATTCAAAGCTGAATATAATCAGTTTGATAAACATGCTTTGATTCTGCACTGCCACCTACTTATTCAGTGTCTTGTCAGTCATTGCTAGTGATAATTCGAGTACCAATAAAACTTCACTGGGTACTAATAATTCGAGTAGAACCTGTAGGCTGGAGTGGTGCATCCTGAGGAGGGAGGTTGTGCCTTGTCAAAGACTGGGAAGGAGAAAAAACAGAGTCCATTCATTGTTCATTCAGTTGAGCACATGGACTGAAAAATAGAGAACTTGAGAAAGAGTCAGGACCAAAAAATAACTAATGATGGTGACGAAGGACCGGAAACGGCGACCAGAGGGGGTGAATGGGAGCCTTAAATTCCTTTCGAAATATTTGACCGATGTCCCAAAATCAAACCCCAAAAACAAACGCAAGCAAGATCAATTTGTTCACAAGCCAACTGGTGGCTGGATACCTCTGGTGACGACCAAGAAGTACAGCGGAGCGAGAACCAACGAAAAAGAGCACGCGAAGAAACAAGTGAAAACAACCAACTTTAGACGGGGGCGGACTGTCTGCGGATCAGAGCCGGACTGTCTGCAGTCCGAACCCCGGACAGTCTGGAGTCCAACCCCGGACTGTCCGCGGCCTGAAGAACGTGCAGATGCAGAACTGAAACGAGCAGAGGCAAATCGAGCGATAGCAGGCGAGCAGCTCCGGGCAGGGGCGTACACCGCTTGGCTGAGCGGGATGGACGAGATGCTCGACGCCTGAGGCCTGCTGCTGAACGCGCGGCCACTGGTGAGTGCTCCCTGCTTGCTGGTGGTGACCGGAGACAATTCCGGTGGCCTGAATCAAGACCTGGTGCAGCACGATGTCAAGCACAGGGCAGAACAGGAGGGAGAGAGGCTAGCTGCCAGCCACGAGCACCCACAGCAAGAACCGCTCAAGTGAGCTCGCTTGGTGCCTGAGCACTTAGCGCTGGTAGTGCTGCCGCTGGGCTGCTGGACAGCTGCTCCTGCTCGATACAGTCACGAACACACTAACAGAGAAGAAGCAAGAACGAACAGAAGAAAAAGGAGCGACCAAAAATCTGATGAAAACCAAGCTAAACCTCCATAAAACGCTCCCAAATTTTGCACAGATGCAATTCAACCTAGCACGAACCTATTCCCCAAAAATCATTGCCTGGGATTGAGCCAAACTCCGGGAAATTGAGATCGAACTCAAGAACGAAAAAGGGGAAAAATTGGAAACACAGTGAACGAATTTCATAGCTTCGATTTAGGAATCCCGAAGGACAACTGGAGGATTCGGGCCTCCATTCCCAATCCAAAATCACAGGTTTGTTACACAAATTTGGAATTTGTAGATATCTCTCACAAGAAAACCTAAGGGTAGGGAAAACATAGGGATCGCTCGGTCTAGGGTTCAAATGCATGCAACATGAACTTGAATTTATTCGGATCAGATAGCATCATCAGATCAGGAGTTGATGACGACGTACCTTCAAGCAGCGATCCACGAGGGAGTGGCGGAGTCAGTCGAGAGTTTCAGCTCGATCTCCACCAGTCCACCTTGCCGAGCGCCAAACTGCCCGCTTCGCCTTGTGAGGAGGAATAAAAACGACAGAAAAAAAAGTGGGTCATCCGGCTCCGCTTATATCCCTTCTATTTCGGTAATGGGCCGTGGAAAATCTGTGTGCGAACAATTCCAGAAACTGGAGGGAAACAGTCCCCGCCAATAAAGAAATGGTAATTCGGTCACACTGTTTGATAGGTAATTTGAGTTAGATGGATTTCTTGGAGGGAAGATTTGGTGGAAATACTTTCGGTCATATTTTAGGAGGGAAGCTAAGATTCTTGTTTTAGGTGGAAATACATAGCATTTTTTACAAGAATAATGTACGGATCAAATTAACTTGGCCTGCGAGAAAACATTGCAAGATAAATTTAAGGATGTCCAAAACATATTCTAAAATAATTTTAAGAAAATCAAATTATTTCAATTTTCAGCATAATAAACTGACATATCCAAAACTGATTTCCATTATTTTTACCTATCTGATTCCAGATCTGAATTAAAAAAAATAGAATGGATATCCTATAGGATCTATGTCTCTATATAGAAGGTAAACGTGACTAATTATATTGATTTTGTAACATTAATAATGTATAAAGAAAAGAAAATTTAATTAATTTCTATATAACTAAGAAAGTAATTTGACATTTCTAATTAAGTTAACATAACCAATGATAAATAATATCATTTTAATTTAATATGTCGAGAGAGTTTATAGTATACTTATATTTTCATATCTTATTAGATATATATGCTCGTGCATTGCATCGGGACCATTCTCAATTCACTACTACAGCGCAGTAAAGCGGTGGAGAGCGGGTTTTTTTAGTTCCCAGCTCGTAGTGTAAATAGAGAAGTGATTCTGGTCAGCTCCTCACCAGAATCCAGTTGTATGCACTACTACACATAAATTTGTAGGGGCGACTCCTGATGATTTGTAGGGGCGGTTTTACCAACCGCCCCTACCAAAGGGTGGCTACAAATAGCCGATTTGTAGGGGGTGGTTGGCCAGTTGTCGGGCGGCTCACTATTTGTAGGCGCGGCTGGATATTGAGCCGCCCCCACAAATCCGTTTCACAAAATTCACAAATCTGGGCCAAAAAAATAGAATTTTTTTTTAATATGGGAAGGCCCCCACCGATCAGCCGTAAGTGCCAAAGTGGTCCTAAGTGTTTGGTAGGGCTCCGCGAAAGCTAAGGGGCCATTTGGTAGAGTTCAAGATTCTTGTAGAAACGTTTCAGACGTAGATTATCTGAAGAAACGTTTCTAGTTGTGAATGAGAAGCACATCATGAAACAATTTGGCTGTTAGGCTGGGTTCTGTTTCCTAAGTAAATGTTTTTTAAAAAAATCATATAAAATAGAAATATGCTTCACAAAATCTTGATTATTTATTGGAAAATAACAACCTAAATGCAAGCCATTTTAAAATTGTTGCAATAAAAAAGAATAAGGAAAAAACAATCTCTAGTGCATATGGGGGAGAGTATAATCGGAAACAACGAAACCAGCCTACTCCCATTTCTCTCCGTAGGCAAAAAAAAAAATCACGAAACCAGTGGAACATTTCACGTCTAGAGCGTTTGGGTTCGATTCTTTCGTTTCTTGCGAGAAACAGAATCAGTTCGACTAGCCAAAGAGTGAAGTTGGTGTTAGGAGCTACGCCAAAAGGGCCCTAAAAGTGTCCCTTCTCACCGGTCACTACTAGATTCAAAGGTGATTAATACATAAATCTATCTTTCTTACATATGTGAAAATCAAATTAAACTTTTGTTTCACATGTTCGTTTATAATAAATTAAATACAATAATTCTTTCACAATGATGTAACTTTTAATGAATACATTTCTACTTATTATTAAAATGACCTCACAGTTGATCTAAGTGTGATAAATAATACATTGAACTATAAACTAAATTCGAGGACCAAGCAATATATTCAAATAATTTTTTATTAAATAAAATCATAAAAATCAAATTGACACCGGCTCCCACGCAGAATGCCAAAAATTTTCAAAGTACCTATAGCCGCGTGCTCCTCACAAGACCACGAACTCCTCTCGTCTCGCAGATTGAAAGTATTATAGCTTCGCGCTGCTCGGAACCCTAATCTATTCATCTCTTTTCCTCGCACTCCTCAGCTCATCCCGCCGCCTCCTCCTCAGGCCTTCACCTGTTCCCACAGATCTAGAAGGAAGATGCCAGCAACTCATTCCTCTATCGTTCCAATCCTCCCACCCTCGACACAGCGTGCCACTGCCCCCCCAACTTCGTCTAAACGATCCATGCCGGCAGCCGACATCCGAAGAATTGGCGAAGGGACGTGCAGATCCGTACAAGTCCCACGCAGATCCGGCCACACGCGGAGCGCCGGGGGCTGGTGCTGCACGTCATCGAGGCCCGCGGCCTCCGGGAGCTAACAAATCGGCGGTGAGCTCTCCCCTCCTTGTCCCACGCCCTCAGGTACACCGCACGCACCATCGTCCACCGCCCGGCGCCCACCACACGTTGCCTACTTCGATACAGTTGTCTCTGCCACCAAGTGGTCTCGACGTGGCCTGGATCCGGCGTGCCGCGGCCGGGGTCTGTAGACCGCGGTGGGTGTGTGAACTGGGCCAGAGCATCTCGGCCTCCGTCTCCGATCGAGATGGGGAGGCACGGGTGGGCGGCTCCGTGTTTGCGGTGCGGATGCGGCGGCTAGCCAGCGGAGGGAAGTGGCGCTGGCTGCCTGGCTCGGGCCTGGGCGGAGCGGATGCGGCGAGCTGGCGATGCAAGCTCAGACCAGGGAGACGCGGATGCAGCAGCAATTTCTCCGGCCAGGGAGGAGCAGATGTGGTGGCGGGGTACCTCCGATTCCTCGTCGACAGCAAAGCACATCTTCCAGATGCTCGACGCCATCGTTGGACGCGTCATCGTCCTATGGCGTCAGTGATCGCTCTCCGCTTTTTTAATTTCTCTTCTATTATTGTCTTGATTGGTGGAAAATTAAAGGTGCGGCCCTTATGTGATGCTAGCAAGTGCATGGCGGTGTTTCGTGTGCCTCTATTGAATCGGTGAAATTTGATTGGTTCGCAGCAAGGAAAAATACGCCTTCTCTACTCTTGTACGGATTTTGCATCTCATAAATCCCTAGACATTAGCAATGTCGATTCAGTGTCATATGATCATACCATATTGTATTACTGTTTTTGGTCTAAATGAAGAAACTCAAACTTGACAGTTCAAAACCATTGGTTCTTCTGAACTGTACTGCACTCCATTCTGAGCTGTGGTTCCACTGTTTATGTAGTTTTTTTTTAAAAAAAAACTTTAGCAGCAGTAGTACTGCACTTCTGCTATTTCATTAGAGTAGAGTGCCAGGTAACAGATTGTAGTGACTGAAAATACAAATAGAGATCGTTGGCACTTGCTGAAAATACAAACTCTGACAAATGCTAATGACAGAAAATACAAGAAGCTAACATATGCTAGTGACCAAAAAATTCAAGAAGCTAACAGATTCTAGTGACTGAAAATACTGATCGATAGCACTTGAAAATAGTAAAATACAAAGAAGCTAACTGATGCTAGTGATGGAAAATACAAGAAGCTAACAGATGTTTGTGACCGAAAATTCATGTGTGATTAGAAGTGTTGTGCAGGTAAGAGATGTGATTAGAAGAGATGTCCTTGGGTCTAGAGTAGTAGAGTTTAAATTGTAGGTCATAGGGGATTGACAACTTCGGTGAGCTTTACTGTAAAATGGTATTTGTAACTGCATATGAAAGGAATATGTAAACAATATGGGTCAAATTAAATTTGTGCCTTTGTACTGTCCCTCTACTGAACAACATATGGCTGTATATACTAAAAAAAGGTTTATCTAGATTGTACTGCACTGTTCCAATGGGAACTTTTTACTGAGTTCCATGTCCTCTTTGTTCAAATACATTCCATGTTTAGCATCATGTCTTAAGATCGGGTGTTGAGAGAAGAGAAAGCTGGACAAGTGCACGGCATGGGATTGCTTTCAGTTCCTAAACAAGTTTATGGTCGAAGAACACACCATTTTAAGGACATTAATATAGTTTCACTAGATGGCTCATCATCTGATGTAGAGACTCACATGTTGGAGGAAATAAGGCAACTTAAAGAACATTCTAGAATGCAAGACAAAGTTATTGAAAAACTAAAAAAACAATCAAAGGCACCATGAGAACCAAGAAGCAACAATGGTAACAATGTACATTTTAATTTGTAACTTCGTATTGAAATGTGTTACTCAAACTTTATTTATTTTCCAGGGAAATTGTGCTAGGAGTGATCATAACAATTCTCAGAATCAAGCGGTGCTTTCTAAAAAAAAGGTATTTGCTCTATTTTCCATGTTTTCACCTAATTTAGTCTTTTGGCTTTAATATTGTTTCAAATTTTTAGAGAGTTCACTGTGTTGCACCTAACTAGAATGATGGATTCCTTGAACACAGGGATGAATTGGTAAAGCCACTTTCTTGTGAATTTAATACTATTTTATTCACAAAGGATTTTTTTATATTAACTCATACTACTGTCTTTTTTCTCTTTACTAGAATAAAGAAACATGTGAGTCTGAATATAGAGATGATGACCGTCTACTTTTATCCACCACAAGTAAAACAACAAAGAAACAAAAGGTATCTATGAACCACACTTTGTTGTATTTATAGAGGAATTTTTGTCTTAATATTTCATACTTCATTTTATACGTGTAAGGGTCATCATGGAGGGCCTGGAGAGACTACGACCATTGCACACCAGGAGGTGGCTCATGACAAGGTTACATGCATCAAGCGTCAAGCACCTAAACAACTTCCTGTAGTGAAGGTAGATGAACATAATACACTTGTTCTAATTGCATGATCTTGATGTACAACTAAGGGTTGTTGGTCACTAAGAGATTATGTCAAATTAATGTAGGTTAGGTCCATGGTGCTACTAATGACTTCAAAATATCCTAATAAGGCTAATGTGGCCTATGCAACTCTCTTGAGCACTGATCCAGAAGCCATTGTTGGTGGAGTTAAGACAAGAAGTCAATTCTACAAAGTGCGTATCGATCATGCTATAGCAAAAGATGAGCCATTAGTGAGGCCTAGGCCTGGGTGCAACAATATTGGTGATGCTCAAGCCAAAGGAGTCTCAATTGCTTGGCCTTCGATGTTTGTATGTTCAAACTAGCTTTTTTAACTTACATTATTGTACATATGCGGCCTAATTTGTAATCTTACAACTTACATTTTCTTTGCAGGTTCAAATGATTAATGGTTGAATTCCTACATCGATGTGTACAAAGAATAATGGAAGAAGAAGCAATGGACTTTATGAATCCTAGCTAGTTCTTAAATTTTTCTTTCTAGTATGGACTATGTGTGTTTGCTCTCTAGAGCCATATCGTTATGTACAAATACTATGATTTAATCTAAACAAGCACTATGTTTGAAATCATCCTACTATATGTGGATCTTGTTATGATTATTGAAATTTGTGGTTTATATGATTTTGCAATGTGTCATATTTGTGTGATTCTATAATAATCCGTGTGCCACATATATAGGCGAAACAAATATTTGTTTCCTAATCTGAATATGTTACAATTGATATAAACAAGTGTTACAAACCATGTGTTCCTTTGTTCCATACTGTGCTCTACCATAATGTAGAAGTGTTACTAGAACTAAAAAAAGTGTTATGGCAGGCAATCACTATAACACTAAGCAAATGTTCCCATAGATAAATAAATGTGTTACAAACTATGTATTCCACCATAATGTGAAGTGTTAATAGAGGAAAAAAAGTGTTACAACAAAAATCATTGTAACACTAGACAAATGTTCCTATAGACAAGTAAATGTGTTACGATAAATCAGTCTACAGTAACATGGCCAATTGGAACACACAAAAAAATATGTTACTTAAAGAGTTAGTAACACTTTTTCCAACCTATTATAACACAAGTTGGTGTTACTATATCCGTGCGCTGTAGTAGTAGTCCTCAATGCTTGAGCATTTTCTAGTAGGAGCATAAAGGTTAGCTGGGCACACAGCCAAAAAGCAGCCCACCAGTACGACGAGTGACTACCCAGCTAACTGTTTTTATGGCTTGTCCTGGTGCTCGAACCATTGATGAAATGAAGCGGAAACTAGAGGACGATAATGTCGGTGGTAGCATCAGGACATGCATGCACACAGAGCAGAAGAATTTTGCATCATCTTTGCATCAGCAAGTGAGGCGTCCTCAAACTGAGCGGCATGCACGTACAAAATTGCTGCGTGTAGTTGTACTTGTCCTCAATTCTGTAGTCTAAGCTTCTCCAGACCAAAGAGGGTCTCCGATACGACGCAGCTCCACATGGAGATAGAAGGGTTTCCTCCTAGAAAGCCTCCACGCCTGCTTCATCGAAAGGTCATAGTTACTTTAAGCGCTCCGAGTCACCAAGATACTATGGCAAAATGGCTCTACCTCACAAAGCTCTCAAGATCTAAGGCTTAACACTCGATCACAAGGGTTAACTATGGTGTCTATCCTAGTCTTGGATGTGATCTTGGTATTTTTAAGAGTGTAGATGGTGTAAGCGCAAAGGGGCAGAAGCATCAACATTATCAAGCTAATTACTCATAAGCATTACACGAACACCTTATGTGCATTCTAGAAACAGCCCCATAGTATCAATTATTCTAACATGGTGCTATCCAAACTTCAAAAATAAGGAATATACTTGCAAAGAAGGGATCGAGTTCGGAACGATGATATACGTGAGAGATTAGGGGTAGCGCCAATTGAAGAAAAGCTTGTCCAACACCGGTTGAGATGGTTTGGACATGTGCAACGGAGACCTTCAGATGCACCGGTGCGTAGTGGAATCCTAAGTCAGGATAGTAACGTGAAGAGAGGCAGAGGAAGATCGAAGTTGACTTGGGTAGAGGCAATAAAAGGAGACTTGAAAGGATGGAATATACCCAAAGACTTAGCCTTAGATAGGAATGCTTGGAAGACAGCTATTCACATGCCTGAACCTTGATTGTTTCTGTTGGGTTTCAACTCTAGCCTACCCCAACTTGTTTGGGACTTAAAGGCTTTGTTGTTGTTGTTGTTGTTGTTGTTGATACTTGCAAAGATCAGCTCACTAATACATCAATCCCCATCATCAACATATCAAAGAACCCATACATGTCTCATATGCCAACTCAATCATACACTATGAACTTGAACGAATATCAGCAATAGCAAGCAAGATAGTGAGCAATCAACATGTATGGCAAGAGAAATACCTAATCACAAGTAGACACCAAGATTTACGTCGAAATCCCTTGCAGAAAAACCACGGACGGCGACGAGCAAGCAATGCACTATGAAAATGAAGATACATGGTGGTAGCCAACAAATAGAGGAGAGGCTCCAAATCCCCCACACAAATTGCACTAGGGCATTCTCTATTCAGTGGATTTAGAGGGAAATATACGGTTCTCTCACTCTCTCAAGTGCTATGTAACCCTAGCACTCAAGGTGGAAGAACAAGCCCCTCTCTTTTGTGCAAGGAACTCCTATTTTCGAGCAGGAGACACACTAGCGATTTTAATGGCCATAACCGCGCCCCAATCTCACATTGGTTTTTGTGGACAGGTCCACAACCTCCTTAGTTGGGTGCTGCTTTCATCTGTTTCAGTAGTTCTGCCCTAGTTCTAGTAGTTGGTGTTTCTACTTTAGGGGGGGAGGGCCTTGTGTGGCCGTTCCTTTTGGGTTGAGCTCTGTAAATTCTTGTACAACTTTTTTTTTCTTTTATCTCGTCTAATAAAATTTATGGCAAAGCTTTTGCCGTCCTTTAAAAAAAAATCTCACGTGAGATATACCAAAATGCCCCTAGAGCAACGCTACAAAAGTGGGCCTCCATTTAGCAACAATGAGTATCAACTTTGAGCCCAAAATAACCTTCAAAAGTGTGTGTCTAAATCTAAGTCATCATCACACATAGGGTGTGGAAGCACTTTCTGTAATTTATCTCGGTCTTTTTTTTACAGGTGTACGCACGGGAGATTTTTGCATTGCACGCCAGCTCAAGACAGAAAATGAGTCCTTTCCTTGCAGGAACACGTCAGTTTCTTTCTTCACAGGATCGACCACGGACGTCTCAGAAAAGACAGGTCTGTTACGTACGTTAAAAGGGCCAACAGCGTAAAGCTACTCTGAAAACTGCAATAGAGCGATGCGCCGGTTGCCGTTGGACAACGCAGCAGCAGCAGCAAGCAGCTTGTGTCCCGGAGCAAGGAGGTCCGCCGTCGCTGTCTTGTCGAGATCACGGCAGGCCCGTTTTCCCCGTACGTGATTACAACTTCGTCTTACCACCGTCAGCAGTTACGCTTGAGCTGCACACATCACCTGATCATCTCCACGTCACTTTTGTTAGAAATTTACGCATTTTTATTATCAGTTTAATCCAGAAAAATAGCATCAGCAGGTTCGTGGCGACATATATATGCATATGCATGTCTCTAATGAACGCTACAGTATGCAAAGATGACATACAGATAAATACAGTAAAAGCACATATTACAGTAATCAGAAAGATTAGACTGTACCCAGCGAAGGTCCCATGCCGAGGGCATCGGAGGCTCCATTCGTACTAGTCGACATAGTACGTTGCTTGAAGTCGCAGACCACAGTCGGTGCAGGACGATGTTCGTAGTGCAGTCCCACGAACGGATCACCAAGAAGAAGACGCCTTGCTGTTCCGCAGACAATCACCGGGAAGAAGACGGGTTCCAAGAGCGATCACCACCAGGAAGAAGGCGTACGTAGATGAGCAGTTGCGGATCGCTCCCCAAAAACCTAATCGCCGCATACCCCATGCAAGGTTCTCAAGCAGGCGAGGGTTCCGAAGGCACGCGGATCGCTCTCAAAAAACCTAATCGCCGCACACCCCGTGCAAGGTTCTCAAGCGGGGCGAGGGTTCTGGAGGCACCTGCTCTCCCGCTGCTCCGTGCGCGCAGAGGTACGGGACGGGGAAGCCAGAAGGTTGCTGAGATGTGGTTTCTCTCGGGAGCGGTTGCGGAAGATGGAGATCTGGACTAATGGAGGACTGCGACGGGAAGGAAGAGAGGCAGCGGAGAATCCCAAGAGACGGAGAAACGGAAGCGGAAAGGATGGTAACTGACGCAATCAGTTCGCCTCCATCATCAAATGGAGTAACTCCCGTGATTATGTGGATTAAGTGGCAAAAAGACTGGCCGCGCCCACGGCCTGACCGGTGGCGGCGGTGGCGCGCGCACGTGTGGCATGCTTTTGTCATTTTTTCAGCTTCTTAATTTAGATGAATAATTTCCAACCATATAAGCTGAGTCAACGTTCAGTCAAAATCCCATATAATATTAAACCATACAACATTTAATATTACGTACGAATTTTATTTGATTTATAAATATTATATGGGCCAAGCCCATGTTATATTCAACAGCTTTGCTTGCGCTCAACTGAAAGGCCTCGCACTCGCACGCACTGAGTTGACGCCGGGCGCACCACCGGCTCCGCTTCCAGCCGAATTTTCTTTCGTTTCGTTGCGTTTCATTTTCCCCTCGTCTCAGCTCATCAGCCTAACTCCCTCGGCTCACTCCCCAGTACCCTGCATCCCGCTATAACTCCTATAAGTACTCTGCCTGCCTGCCGACTGCCGAGCAGCAGCAGCAGCAGCATGGGGCGAGACCAAGAGCCGCGCGCGTGCACAGCTGCAACTGCACCATGGCCCGTCCTTGCTCGTCCCTGCTTCTTGGAGCGGTCGCGGTGGCGCTAGTCCTTGCCGCTGCGCCGTCGGCGCTCGCCGGCGACCCCGACTACCTCCAGGACCTCTGCGTCACCGACCTCAACTCCGGTAAGCTCCTCACTTAAATTCGCCCAGTAGCTATATATTCAGGGTACCGCGAGCACCTACGGGCCTGTTTGTCTGGTATTAAAGCCGACTGATAAGCCGGCTGAAACTGTTTTGTTGTGAGAGAAAAATATTGTAGATTCTAGCTGATAAATTGACTAATAAGTTCAAGCGAACATCCCGTCAAGATTTTGAAGGACGGATCCACTTACATTTCAAAAAAAAAAGCTCTACCGGCCGGTGCCGCCGGTGATTTCTTGTCATGAACACAAGATTGTAGCTTGCTAAAATGGGCGTGCATTTCAGATGCCAAACTGAATGCAGGATTTGCACAGTTGGCTGGGCACTGTCGCATTGAACATTGAAGCCGTACTACCCAGTGGTGCATTTCTGTTATGCGCTTTTTTGTCCTCGTGCTTTGGCGTAGGATGGAATCCACGTTTGGTGGAGGTTAGTGCACAAGGATCCATCGGCACCAATGGTCCTGGTCCACACGGAGGGTAGAGAAATGGATTCTCAGTTCCAATATAGTTTCCTCCCAACTTTGTTTTATTAGATTCGCTACTTCTTAGATTAGGTGAGACAGCTTTTCTTTAAAACATCTTTCGTTTGAAAAGCTGAGTAAGATGCACATGTAGTTTCCAGTTAAACTTGTTCGACAATGTCACGTAGTAGGTTTAATTAATTATTTGTACTTTTCATGTCCATGAACTTACTAGGTGGTTCAATTGCTGGGTGGTCTAATCAGTATTCAACTGTTCATACTCATATTTGACATCTTCATGACATGTCAACTACTCCCAAAATATAGGTGATTTTATTTCTATGGTAGGAAGTCAAACATTTCTAATATTGACTAGACTGTTCGGCTGATGGTTTCTGTGGTTGATAAGTCGGCTGATGCTGTTTTGTTGTGAGTGAAAATACTCTACTATGGCTGATATGCCAGGCTGATAAGATCGAGCGCACAGGTATGTTTGTAGCAAAATGCAACAACATATATAGCATCAAATTACTTTTATTGTATCCATCATGAAATATGTCTTCATGCTGTGTTTATTTGGTATTGTAGCCACCAATATATGTTTGTGTAAATTTGATCAAAATTAGAGAAATTTGACTTAGGCCAAAACTAAAATAATGTACATAGTTTGAAGCGGAGGGAGTAGATTTTACAGCTCAATCAGTCATCGATGTCCAGCACTCACGTGACAGTTAATAATGAACAAACAAAAATTGGATGAGATCAACCCACGGCAGAAATTAAAGAAGACGAAGGCGGTGTTTGGCACAGAATTTGTACCCGCTTTTGAAGCTTTTTGCTTCTCTCGTAACTTCAATTTGAAGTCCCGAAAAAACAGCTCTCACATGGGGTGCGTGTGGTGAAGATGAAAGAAACCAGCTTCCGCTTCACGAGCTCACGAATGTGGGCTCTCACATTATTCCTTTTTTCTACCAGGTGAAAGTTGTTTTATCAAATAATTCACCAGTACAACATTAACTCTACCAGTAAAGCTACTCATACAACCAAAGCCATCAAAAGCTACTTTACCACTGAAGCCGAGCTATGCCAAATAGGCCTAAAGGTAGAGAAAACGATAGTAGAAGCCAACACGAGTGGGTTTCCGGAGGCCACTCGTATCAGAAATTTTTACCACTCTCCTACACACACATCAACGACACATTTGGTAGATTTGATTGCGAGCCGTTGCGAAGCACACTGATTAGCTGCAAACTAATTAAAGTAAAGCCTGTATTTTTTTTTTCACTACTAGATGGCATACAGAACCCTACGCAAGCATACTGGTTTTAACATAAGGCCAGACCTAGCAGATCTCTTCATGTGCCGCCATCCATATCATGGTGCAGAGTTCCTGTGGCTGTGGGCGCATCTGCAAAAGCGTCCTCGCCGCGCACTGCAGTTTACACACCGCTAAACGGCAATGGCATAGAACCGGCACGGATCATGCATGTGCATGTCCTCATTACTATATTTCTGCTGCTCCGAATCCGATCCTTTTGCACTTCACCAATAATTCAAAATTTAAAATCCACTGGTCCACAATGATTGATCAAATGCACAGTGCATTGGCGCTTTGTTTGCAGAGGTGAAGGTGAACGGGTTCCCGTGCAAGGCGGCGGCCGCCACCGCCCACGACTTCTTCTCGAGCATCCTAGCGAAGCCGGTCGCCACCAACACCACGTCCGGCTCCATCGTAATGGGCGCCAACGTGGAGAAGGTCCCGGGGCTGAACACGCTGGGCGTGTCGCTCTCCCGCATCGACTACGCGCCGGGCCCCCGCCGCACACGCACCTGCGCGCCACCAAGCTCATCTTCGTGCTCTACGGCATGCTCGACGTCCGCTTCGTCAGCACCGCCAACAAGCTCGTCTCCAAGACCATCGCGCAGGGCGACGTGTTCGCCTTCCCGCGGGGGCTCGTGCACTTCCGGAGGAACACTGGCACCCGAGCCCGCCGCCGTCATCTCCGCATTCAACAGCCAGCTCCCCGGCATGCAGTCCGTCGCCACGACGCTCTTCGGGGCCTCGATCGAGCTGCCCGACGAGAAATTTTTTTTATTTTTAACACTTTTTTAAACTATTTTTAATTCTCACACTGTTTTTTTCTTCAAAAGTAACACTTTTAGCTGCGCCTAATTCCAGGGCGCGGCGAAACAATGCTGCCGCGCCATGCATGGCGTCGCAGCAGGGGTGCGTACGTGGCAACGTCCTGACCTGCTGGTCACTGATGTGGCAGGTCTTGCCGCGCCACTGATCAGGGCGCGGCTGTGGCGCGCCAACCGTCAGGGCACGGCAGAGCAAAATAGAGGCCCGCGGCTCCGTCCCTTTCCTCCCTTTCTGTTTCACTCCGCGCCGCCCAGCCGCCGCACAGCAGCTTCCTCCATGCCGCCCAGCCTCCGCCGTCGCGCCTCCCAGTCTGCATCGCCGCGCCATTGCCTCCCGGCTTCCCCACGGCTGGCCGTCAACTTTCCCTCCCTTGTTGGCTCCCTCCCTACCTTCCCCGAAGCTCCTCCTCGACCTTGTGAAGGTAATGAAGCTCCTCCTCGGCCTCCACGATGGGTCGAAGGATTTGAATGATTAGCTAGGGTATGGAGGAAAATATGAGTTCATTAGAACGTGGGATCGAAGGATTATGATTAGGATTGCCAATGTTAAAGTTAATTGGTTAGTTAGAATTATGATTACCATATATTATAAGGTCAATTTTTATATGAATTTTGCTTGTTTTAGTTTGCATCTCAACTTTTATATGTGAATAAATATATGGACACACTGTTGATGTACCAAATTTTAATTTTTAGTAACCAAACTATAGTTTTTATATAGTTTACATGTTTACATCTAAGATAGAGTTTGCACCAAAGTATAAGTTATATTTTATTTCTTGTAATGCAAATGGTTCTCATTAACATTAATTTGTGATGTTTTGATTTTTGTTTATTAAATTATAACCGTTTTGTTAGATGTAAGACATGTATCGGGAGGAGTTTTGGTGAAAACGGGACTGTCCTAGAGAATTATACCCCGACGCGTCTAGCAAAGATGCCCCCATCCCTCCTGACCTCCATGTCCCTAACTGTGACTGTGGTTTTCCGGCCGACGTGTTTCAATCGAGACATCCAGACACAGCAGCGCGGTGCTTCTACACATGCAGTCATTTTAATGTAAGTAATTATTTCCACTATCTTTTTTTCTTTATTTATTTAAGTAGACTATTAATATTTTGTTGGAATCTTGTTGTGTAGGCCCATGAGAGGTGCCTTTTCTTTCAGTGGATCGACGGTGCAGACAAGTTTGACCTTAGGTACATCCTTTTCGACGATTGTTGTAGAGGGAGACATCCACGTGAGCACTTCGAGTGGTGGGTTCCACCCCCCCTAACCCCCCACCAATGATGACTAAGGAGAAGCACCTAGATACAGTTAGACGACTCGAGGAACCTCCTTTGTGCGAATGCAGAGATTAAGCTGTGATAAACCCTGAGAATATATTGGAGTTTGTGTGTCTGAACAAGCACGAAGTAAGCGAAAAGTGTATCTGTTTAAATGTTTATCTCTATATGTGTGCGTATACTAATATATTCTCTTATAGCGTTATGGATTTGAGAAGTGTCATTTCAATGAGTGGCTCTACGGTCCTAAGAATTAATGGCCAGAGCCACCAAACGCAAAGAAAAAAAAGAAAGAAAGGTTAATTTATAAAGCACCTCCAGTCATGTGCGAATATAGTGTTAAATTCAACTACGGTCTAGTCCCTTCGGAGCTTGGAATATGCCATTATTGCGGCCATATGATTGACTATGATGAAGTTGGTTATTTTTGTGGTAAACATAAAATTGTATTTTGTTTTTTTGCTAAGATATATATGATATAATTTTTCATTTGAACAGAGCACTAAGAAATACAGGTGGGAATGTTATGATGGTCAAGCTAAGTTCTTGGATGAACTGAAGGGGAGGCAAGTAATTGCACATAAGAGGAGATATGGATCTGACTACATCAACCTATTCGTTAAACATCACAAAAAGAAGATACATGAGTTTGCTAGACAGCGCGGTATTCATAACCCAATCGATGTTAGGCTTGACAAATGGGGGTTGGAGAGACAGAGAGTGTTAGAGGAGTAGAGGGCAAGGAAGGAGGCAAGGGAGGAGACAAGAGTACAAATGTATGTCTTGAATGACCATGTTGCTGCATTGTGTGCCATTGAGTGCTTGAAAGCCTTTTTATTTTCGTTGTCTGATTTTAAATGTAATATAATCGCGTTGCTAACTGGTTGCATTTTATACATGAAGAGATCGGATGTAGCGAGGACCATGCCGTAGAGGTAGCCCATGCAAGGTATGAAGAAAAGAAATTAGATAAGCACAGAACACGAGCTAATGACACCATCCAATCTCCGATTGTGTTGGCCGATGATAGGGACGAGGATGAGGACGACACAGGTAGGTTGAGTGATCTCATCGCTCTAGCTGAGACGGGCTTGCAGGCGGAGGAGGATGAGGACGACACTGGTAGACTGAGCGAGCTCATCGCTCTAACAGAGGAGGGCTTACAGGTGGAGGAGGACGCGTTCTTCTCTCAGGTCGCAGAGGTCGTAGATGAAGTGGAGGCCGCTTACTATAGGCGACATACAGATAAAGGCAATGCAGGTGAGCCTAGCTACATGAGTCAGACGGAGGAGGACGCATTCTTGACTCAGGCCACAGAGGCCGTAGGTGAAGCGGAGGCAGCTTACTACAGGCGACAGGCAGATTAGGGCAATGCAGGTGAGTCTAACCACAACAACGAGGTAGTGGTAGAGGACTGGTACTCGGACGTCGAGTTGCTTACTCAGTATGTTTCAGACTGAGGATTGTGTTTCATTTGAACTATTTATGTATTGTACCCATATAACAAACACTGTTTAATGTTTATAACGGACATTGTGTTATCTCATAAAACTTTAGCCATGAGACATGGCACGCATATTCCTTTTAGTTTGATACCCATCTTATCCAAACATTATCTAGAAGACTGTACCAATCACTATTGACCATGATCTTTCGAAACCTCCTAAATTATATGCATCAAAATCTTGTTGCTGCTGATGCGCTCAGAAGGGAGTCTGGCCAGCGCCCAGCATGGGTTTGCCGCGCCACCGTCCACGGCGCGGCTAGGCTAACGCGCTAGCTGCCATGGTGTGGCAAGGCTGACACGCCCCCAACCATGGCGTGGCGGTCAAAGCGGCAGCAAATGGAATAAGGCACTTCTGTTATATTCTCACGTGAGCTAAGTTATTTCATCGTATTGGTTTAACGAATAGGTCAGCAGGAAGGTTAAGTGCACGAGACAATCAATACACAAGTTCAGCAATACTAACTTGTACACGTCCCAAGTTCATCGCAAGATCGACAATACCTCTGTTCAATATAAGTTTAGCAAGTCATAACTATGACACAAGTTCATCAATATATAAGTTCGACATTACTCGACATACTACATGTTCCATCAGTATATGGGTGTCTGAGTACAAGTGCATCATGTCATCCTAAAGAACTCCTACGACCCAGGAGTCTAAGAGGTAGCAAGTCCTCCTAAAGCTCCAACAGGTGCTTGGCTCGGTGGTCCTTGTCGTAGTGCACCTCAAGAATGGGGTACTACGGATGATGGTCCCCCATCCTAGTTCAAAATTTAAATGGATGTGTTTGAACAAATATTAAGAGTACTATAATATGATGGAACATTAGTGCATAAAAACAAAGTAAATGTAAAAGGAACAAACTATTATGCAAAATGAGAGAATAAACATATATCATAATTGGTACTAACATAGTAGTTCTAAATTGCATATCAAACAATTAACATTAATATAATAAAATGTATGCTATATGCACCTGCTGCCCTTGTCTTCTATGCCTGCTAGCCTTGTGACCAGGTTCTTTGCAAACGGAGCAAAGATTCCTACCACGGGTCTCGTTGAAGTCTCCCCCTCCATACATGTCTTCGTCGTACCCTCTCATAGCGTACATGTCCCCCTTGAGTCGCTTCTTCTTACTCCTACCCTTGCCTACCTTCATTAGATCTGGATATGGCATGTAGTCATAACCATGATAAGGTGGCCACTGTGCGGGTCAAGGTATGGCTCGAAGTTCCTCTCCCAAATACTAACGGTGTTCGAATGGAGATACAAGGGTGACATATATGGCAAATCCTCAAAGTTATACCCGCAAACCCTGCACGCCGTGATCATATAAGAGCAAGGGGCATGCATGATCTGAGGGACGTTGCAACTGCACTCTACTTTGTCAAGATCAACTCGGTAGTTTCGTCCACCATAACGTTCGCCGCCCAAGCTTGTGCCACTCTTGCCCTGTACACTAAAGATATGGTGGTGGGGTCCATACGGCTCGACGGTGTGCTGTTTGGCTAATTCCTCGGCCTCCTTCAAATGTTCTGCTCTGACCTTTCCAAATCGCCCTTGCTCAACTATATTCCTCTGCGCAAGTTCCCACCTTTTGACAAAATATTCGTCGCGCTTATGAAAGGAGAACTCAACAATTCCAGACACAGGCAACGATCGAACTCCGGTGAATACATAGTTGAAAGACTCCGAGGAGTTAGTGGTCATGATGCCATACCTGAAACCCCCCTCGTCATATGCTAACACCCACTTAGCCTTCTATTCCATCTACGCCTCTAACCAGGCCTTGCCCGCTTTGTTTTGCATCTTATCTAGTTCTCTCTTTGTCTCCTTGAACTGGTGCTCTGTACGTACACAACATAGATCCTTTACCTTGTCATATATCTCCTTCTTCCTCTGACGTCGCTAGAAATTAGCGGCAAAGTGTCTCATGCACCATCTGTGCACCAGAGGCAGGAACCCATCTATATGCTCAGCTGCAGCATTAAGAAGCCCTGGGTGACGGTCCGAGATCAAACATATAGTGCGAGATGGGCCAAGAACTTGTACAAGTAGAAGCCGC